CGTCCTGCATCACCGGGGTAATAAGAGGTCCGGAAGAAGGAAGCCAGCTGAACTGATGTTGAAAGCGTTCCGCCCAACGAGCCATACGGCGCTCCTTATTGTGAATCAGTACACCTGCGCTGTCTCTGACTGTCTCAATGATGCCTGGTTTCTTGGGACCAGTTGTGCGGATAAGCTGGAAGAGCTTGCGGTAATTGCCTACTGCTCCTGCCTCCTCCATTTCTTGAGCCCGACTGGTCCCCTAGGCTTCCTTGTCAGCGCGCAGGCTCCGCACAAGTTCGCGCCTAAAAGTCCGTCTGATCACATTGTGCTCAAAGCCAGCCGGGAAGTTTCTTTCGGATTCCAACAGGTCTACAGATCTCTCGGATATCAAGTGACTGGTGCGGTGACCATTGATAGTGTCACAAGCAGAGGCTCCTGCGTCGTGCATGGCGGCCGAGATCCTAATCCACTGAAGCTGTGTCATTAGGACAAGAGAGCGAAAGTTCGGCATGTAATGCGTCTTGATAGGCTTGCCTGACCGAGGACTGCGACAATCTCAGTTGCCAATAAGGGAAGACGTTTGGTGCGCCTCTCAGTAAAGTTCATGGAGAAACGACAGCGTACCAAGGCATGAGCACAGTCGACGCAGGTATTCCAGAACGAGCGGTAACCGAAGGTAGAACCACGTCACCTGTAACTTATGGCAATGTGGTCAACTTAGGTCCATCTCTGACCAGCTACAGTAGAACGCCAAGTGACACTTCGAGGCCCACTGTGTTTGAAAGCAGTAGTACTACAAAACAAACGTTGCTTGGCACATAGTTGAAACAGACGCTAGTGGTTGTCAGTCCGTTCGGAATTAAGCCCATAATTGCCACCCAGTTGAGCTTCTGAAGAGCTCAGACGCCCTACTTGCGCGTTCGTATCCCTTGCAATTACTATAATAGCGGAACTAGTAGCACCGCATAGTAGCGCGTTCAGTTCGTGATAGAATGTGTCCTTGGCAACATCAAAACTGCAGTCAATGGGAGTATAAGCGGAAATCACAAGTAAACAGCGTCTTGTAGTACTTCGCGAGTCAATCTTCGTCGATGACGTCAAACGGAATGTACACAAACGGCTGTTCACCGGAATCCAATCAGCCAACTATGTCTCAGACTTGGAGCTGAGGATGATACCTACACCACCTTGACCCGTGAGTGTTGCACCAGCGTCCCTGGATGCGTGCAAGCAATAGCGAGAGGATCAGCCAGACGCAGTTACTGCAACAACCCCACCATGGTCATTGGTCCTAGTTGCGACACACATCACACGTCAATACCCAGCGTGTCCAATGTGCCTGCGAGTGCAGCCTGTTGACCGAGTTGCCTTAGAGCACGAATGTTGAACGCCACCTGGGAAACGGGACAATTGCCGGCAGGCGTCCGGTGGGCGTTGCGAGAAGTTTGCTGTAGATGGTTCTATTCCAGTGGCACATCGGGCGCTGTCAAATAAACTGGGAAATATTGAAGAAATGTTAGTAATGGCGGTCGGGATGAGAGTAAGAAGTGGAAAAGAAAAGAGCCTGCAGTAGCATGATTTCGCTTATCCGCCTTGCTGTATACAGCACATAAGGGGACTTTTGATCATCTGCTCGACGGCCGATGCAATAGTTAGAGTTTGGGAAAAGTGTCATGATTGTATGTGGGCTGAGATACTGCCAGGGCGCCCAGACCTAGACAGGAGGACGAGTAGGGTCCTCAGCCAAAGCCTGTGGGTCAAAAGCCTGTCCGCCAGGCAGCGGAGAGGTGGTATTGTTTTAGTTTTACAGAAACGGGTGTTATCCCATTTCAAACCCCAAATTTGGAGGACCAAGAGACTGAGTATGTCTGACCTCTAACCATTGACGAATCTGGTAGGAGCAGCTCTCAAGGGGCACAGAGGCACCACTCAGTATAGCTCAATAGGCCAAGAATGTACGCAAACCGTCACACCACGTTAAGGTCCAGTGTCGTTGCGGCGGATGAATGTAGCAAAGTACGCTCAATATTAATCAGCAAAATACGTTAGCCGAGGATTAGAAACAATGCATCTAAAGTGGCACAATACAAAAAGGATAGGAGAATAAAAATTATAGAACACAAAGGCTGAAGAGGTAAGGTAATGCTAAATATCATAGTATGCATCCGATGGCGATTGTTGTTAGCAGAGGAAACTAAGAGAGGGGACGGACAAAGACTCATAACACAAACGCCATCGGGGTCAACTCTATGTTATGTAGGCAAGTGTATCCAACCAAACTTGTTCATCATCCTGGGGACTCCAATCCGGCAGTCAGCAGACACCGACGGTCACCATCCTCATCAATACACGTTAGCTGAGGGTGATAAACAAACTCCAGTTGATGTGTCGCAATAGAAAATAGATAGGGTGGTAAAATTCCGGACTACAAAAGATATAAAAGGTAATATAAAGCTAAATATCCCATCAGGCATAGGGGTTGATACCGTTGTTGGAGACATGGAGTATGCAGACGATATTGCCCTAATCTGTGACGGCTCCCAAACATGCCAAACAGCACTGAACCGATTAGCACTGGCTGTCAGTCGTTTTGGGCTATGCTTTGCTCCATCAAAATGCAAAGTACTTCTCCAAGATTGGCAGGGACCCAATCCTGCGCTAACGCTCGGTGGTGATCTGCTAGAAGTCGTTCAAGAATTCAAGTACCTGGGCAGCTATATTAGCACCCGTGGGATTGAAGATGAGGTTACGAACCGTATAGCAAAAGCTCGAGGTGCTTTTGCCAATCTCCGCCACCTGTGGCGCAGACGCGACATTACTCTCGCCCTCAAGGGCAGAGTTTACAACGCAGCCGTCCGTTCAACTCTCCTATATGGCTGTGAAACCTGGCCCATCAGGTCGACAGACATGAACAGACTCGTCACATTCGATCATCGCTGCCTTCGCAGCTTAGCTCATGTCTGGTGGGAACACCGCGTGAGCAATGAGCGTGTTCGACGTCGCGTATTTGGTGCAGGAAGAGCGAGTGAACCGCTCAGCACGATTATATCACGCACCAGGCTCCGATGGCTGGGCCACGTCTTGCGCATGCCAGCACACCGACTCCCACGACGTGCATTGTTTGCGCGTTGTGGGTGCGGTTGGAAGAGGAGGAGGGGAGGCCAAGTGATGACTTGGTCGAGAGAAATGAAAACCCTCACTTCGAAGTTGGCGTCGGTTGGTGCATCCCGACTGCCTGGCTGGGGTCCTAAGGACGGTGAACACGTTTGGCTGGACACACTTGCTGATATGGCTAGGAGCCGGCCCCAATGGCGTTTGTGTTGTGAGTTCCTTTGCCCATCCCCCTCCTGTTTAGCATCCCCCTCCAATCACGATCTCAATCGTTAGGCATAATATGACTTTCTTTTACGGCAGCCAGCTGTTAGCTCTCCGGAACGATGTCCATCCGTTACCGGGGACTCAGCGGGCGTGCCACTGTTTGTTTGTTTTTTTCTTTTCTTGCCTTTTGTATTGCGGCACAATAGCTGAGGTGTTTTCCACCTCCAGCTAACGTGTAATGATGATGATGATGATGATGACATGGACAAATAAAACTCACAAAACAAACGCTACGGGGTCCGGCTCTTCGCTATACCAACACGTGCACCCAAACAATCGTGTTCATTGCCCTTGGGACCCCAGACTGGCAGTCTGGACACACAAACCGACGCCAACTGCGAAATGAGGGACTTCATTCCATTTGGCCAAGTCATCGCTTGTCCCCCTATCTCTTCTTCCATCCAGACCCAAGGCGCACAAAGAACGCACGATGTGGAAGTCGTTGTGCTGGCGTATGCGACACGTGGTAAGGCCATCGGAGCCAGGTTTTGAGCAGTTCACTCGTTCCTTCTGCACAGAATACAAGACACCGAACACATTCATGGCTCACGCGGTGCTCCCACCAGTCATGAGTCATGCAGCGTAGGCAATGATGATGGAACGTAACTAGCTTCTTTATGTCTGCCGACTTCGCAACCGTATAGCAGGGTATTACGGGCAGCTGCATTGCAAACTCTGCCCTTCATTGCGATAATGATGTAGCGTTGGCGCCACAAGTGGCGGAGAGGGGTAAAAGCACCTCGACATTTTGCTATACGCTCCGTGATCTCATCTTCCATACCACCAGCGCTAATATAGCTGCCCAGGAATTTGAATTCCTGAACAACTTCTAGCTAGTCCCATCAAGGGTCAGAGCAGGAATGGTTTCCTGAAAACCTTGGAGAAATTTGCATTTCGATGGAGCAAAGCAAAGCCCAAAACGATTGACAGCCAGTGCTAATCTGTCCAATGCTGCTTGGCACGTTTGGGCGCTGTCACAGATCAGAGCAACATCATCAGCATACTCTGAGTCAAGAAGTCGCTCACCAAGAAGCAACTCCACACTATGTAGGTCGTACACAGTAAACATCATTTCCATTGCTTCGTCAATGGCGAAGTTAACGAGGAAAGGTGACAGCTGGGAACCTTGACTCACACCGCTGGAGATATTGAACTGCAGCGACAGTCCACCAAAAACCCTCACTGCCAGAACTAGGCGCGTAAAGCACGCGGATAATGTGTAGCTATTTATCGAAGTGTACATCGATCTCCCGAAAAGAGGGCACGGCTGACGTCGAAACACGACGAGGATGGGTCGTCCAAAAGTATGGCGGTTGCCGTTGTGCGACCATTTCTGTCATAGTAAAACACAGATCACATAAAGACACTAAAAATTTTCAGTATATTAAAACACAACGGTGCTGCATTATGACGCTTTTGGAACCGATTTCCGCTGTGTAGGAATCTGCGACCAGGAAATTCGCATTTACGACGTACGTTAAGGCAAGGCTGAGAAAGTTCTTCTTAAGTAATCGCAATGTGACGGAAACGTGACTATCTAGGAATACTGGTCATACAGTTAGGTCACTTAGAGAGCTCTAATTGTCAATCCAGCAAACAGCAAGCGGATGTTGGTATCGAGCGGGTACATATCAACTCACCTGTCCAATACACTGGTAAGCATAGGCGATTTCTAATATCAACATCGTACAGGCCACCCTTAACAGAAACAATGACCCTATCGCTGAAGTTCGGTTTTGGGCTGCAAAATTTCCGAGTGGGAGTATCAGATCCCAAATCCGAGGGACAAGATGCACTGAGGAGCACCGGTGGTAATTCTGCGCAAAAGGACCGATGTCGCGATTCGAGGTTTAGAGAATCATATCCACTAAATGGAGTCCAGCGCTTATCACCTGAGCATTTGTGGAACCAACGAACCTGTAAAGTAAGTAAAAACAACAGAAAGCACGTACAATAATCTCTCCACTGGCTACACCGCAAGTTTCAAGCAGATCGGAAACTGCGACCAAATTAGCTGACAGTGAACTGACGGCACTGAAACCACCCATAAATACTTGCCTCATAAAAGGTATACGACAAGCAGAAAGGCATGTGGTGGAGATGAGTCAGGTTCGCCGGTCTTGAAAAACAGGAATAAGGGTGACGAGAACTGGTCGGTAAAATACGGGGTTAGTATTATTGTTAGTTTCCTCTTATCTATCATTCACACCGCTAGATACATGGTAACTAACGAAATAATTATAAGGAATAGGGTTAGATTTAAAGCAGTAATTGAGTAGTACTCCTATATGTTACGCGCAATTGTATTACATTCACTTTGCCGGACAATATAATTTAAGGGTATAATGGCTTTATTGTAACGAAGACCTAGTTTAAAATATCCTACTAACCTTGCGTAACAACAAATATGTAGTGTCTATGCAATGTTCACTAAACGCCCCGAAATTGCATCCATCATCGCCTGCGAGCCTGACGCTCCTCAGAGAACGACGACCTTGAAGCAAAATGCCGGGCGACAAATTGAGGTAAACAATAGTTGGATAAAAGGACGGAACAGGATTCAGGGTCGGTATAAGCTTTCGATTAGGCAGCGTCCAATCCCGCTTGCCAGCAAATGGGAAGAGCTCTTAGCAACTATATTTGCTGAGAGACCCTTGCGTTTATTCTGGAAAATTACAGCAAAATAGAAATGGTTTTAGCGGGAACATTCATTCCATTTTGATGTAGTTATAGAGAATGCCTGCAAGTGGTTAGAGGCTGAAATGAGTATATGCAAGCATTCAAGGTAAAAATCCTTGTTCGGAACTACAGAATGATTGTATCAAATACAAGTAAAGTCGGGACCGAAACGATCGGATAATCCCTTGAATGTTACTTCTTTTGCCCATCGTTGTATCAGGAATTGATAGGACGGCTTGTGATGTTGAAAAGCCTATACCACAACCGCATCACGTCCTGTCCAACCAATTAACGCCCAAATTTTCCTGCCCAGCAGTCACTCAGGACGGTTGATGTGAAGTAAAAGAGTTAAGAGTAAGCTAAGAAACCATATGGAATAATGTCAGCTAACTAACCATAAAACATAAGTGGGAGAAGCATTTAAAAACAGACGGAACGTTACAGATACTATTAGGTTAGGAGAAAGAGTAAGGTCTGTTTGTGCTGTAGTGGAAAAGTCGAAACGGAAAGTGCTTAACTACATATAAGAACTCAGTCCATAAATAAGAATGCTGTAGCTGACCTCAGGTAAAGCACAAGCTTCGCTAGGCTCTCACTTAGTCGCACCATCTGGTCGGAAGACGGAAATGGCCGGCACAATAAATCGACGCGTTAGATCCGATGATCGATGGACGAGGCCAGCAGACAGATGACGACAAACAGCACAACACGCGGAGCCGAAACCAGAAGGCGAATCGAAACCCGCAAAGTGTGTTATCGGTTGTTGGTCAGTTAAAACCGAACTGCACAAGAATAATGGAAATGAGAATAGGAAAGTGCAATTGGGAAGAAAGTTATGTACGAGCGCTACAGAACTCCTAGATCGGGAGTCGCTGAGACGAAAGCTCGATACTTGGGTGTCACTTACCGTAGTCTGGAAGGGAGAACAACTGTGCGTCCGAAGCGGGTTCGAAGATGCGATTTCGAGTTTGTGTCATGAGCTGACTGGGGTTCAGAAGAGGGAACAGAGGTGTCAGACATGGGCTGAGTACGAGGCGTACTTGGGAATGTGGGCTGGTCGGTTACAGGAATTTCTGTCGGTTTCGGTATAGGTCGCGGCTGGATGTACGCAGGCTTCAGGCGGTCAATAGACACAGTATCTTGACAGCCATTTCTACCCAGCACGAAGTACTTCTCTTTCGGGGCAACAACCTTGAAGGGGCCCTCGTAAGGCGGTGTCAAAATTTTACGGACGCAATCGATCCGCACTAGAACGAAGGGGCAAATGCGCAAATGCGGGTGCACCTGTTGACTCCTAGGACTGATTCGAGGTGGCGTTGGAAGAATTGTACTGAAGTGTTGCCTTAGGCGTGTACCGTACGAGGTCGGATCAAGTTCTCCAGTAACAGTTGAGTCTAACACCATTTCTCCAGGAAGCCTGAGAGTAGGGCCAAAGACCAACTCAGCGGGAAAACAGTCAATGTCTTCTTTAGTGGTGTTACGAATACCAAGCAAGATAATCGGTGGACGTTTTGATCATTGTGAGTTCGACTGTGAAGCAGTAAGTGCAGCTTTAATTTGGCGATGGAAACGTTCAACGATGCCATTAGCAGCTAGTTGATAGGCAGTTGTTCGTAGGTGGGAACAACCGTGCAAGCGGTTTATGCCACGAAACAAGGCCGAATTGAATTGGGACCCTCTATCGGTAGTAATAGTGGCTGGCGTGCCAACGACGGAAATCCAATTCTCAATGAATGTTCGCGCCACCGTTTCTGTAGAAGCATCACGTAAATGCACGGCAAGTGGCCAAAGCGTATAACGATCAACACATGTCAAAAAGTAGACAAAACCGTTGGATGGAGCCAAGGGTCCAACGATGTCAAGATGAATATGCTTGAAACGAGCGTCGGGAAGAGCAAACGTTCCGGGGACGGTAATCGTATGACGGTGGATCTTGCTGGTTTGGCAAGTGATACAATGTTTGGCCCACTGCTAGATCTCGGAGCGCATGTTGTGCCAAATAAAACGAGCAGTAATTAGCTTGACGGTGGCTCGGATGCTTGGGTGTGAGATGCCATGCAGGTGGTCAAAGACGATTCGGCGGTGCTGCTGAGGGACAAAAGGCCGGGGCTGGCCAGTAGAAGTATCACAGTAAATTTTGGAGTATGAGGTAAGGATTGGCAACTGTGATATTTGGATCGACGGGTTTGATCTCAGTTGCACAAACTCAGAATCTCCTTCCTGATGAACTGCTATGTCTTCTAAGTTAACCTGCTGCCGTGAAACTTCGTGAAGACATATACGCGACATGGCATCGGCGACAACGTTATTGGCAGCATCGACATGGCGAATGTCAGTAGAAATTTGTGAAATATAATCCAAAGGACGAATTTCTCTGGGGGAGAAACGGTCGGATGAACCACGGAAAGCAAAAGGCAAGTGGTTTATGGTCTGTAAGAATGGTAAACGTGCGACCTTCAAGCAGGCGCCGAAAATGTTTGATAGCGAGGTAGGTAGCTAAAAGTTCTCAACTGAATGTGCTGTATGGCGTCTGTGCTGGCTGGAGTTTACGAGAGAAAAAGATAGCGGCTCATGTTGACCATTAAGTACCTGCTGGAGAACAGCCCCAACGGCGGTCTGAGATGCATCAGTCTTGAGGATGAGAGTGGCGTCAACATCAGACCTCAAATGACTAAGCGCGGTAGCGTTGGACAATGCGTGCTTGATCTTGTCGAATGCATCGATAGCTTGCTGAGTGGGCTTGATTTTTCGTGGCCTGCCTTTAAGTAGATCGGTCAATGGCTGTAGTAGCCCAGAGCAACCTGGTATGAAGCGGCTGTTGTAATTCACCATGCCGAGAAAACTACTGAGACCTCGCGGAAATTACCAGGCACTAAACAATGCCACCGTCCACGATAGATATCCGGTTCCGCACATCCATGATTTTTCAACTGGTTTACATGGAAGAACAGTTTTCTCTAAGATTGACTTGGTGCGTACATTCCACCAAATTCCGGTTGCTTCCGAAATTACACGTAAGCGTGTACTAACCTGGAGTTCCCCGTACGACTGGGTAAACTATTCTTAAATATAGTAAAAGTATACCTTCTTTATGTATTAGGGAATTGGGCCGGTTGCCCGTAGGAACGCTGTTCCCGTTTGTTTGAAACACGAATACGACTCCTGCAATTGGCGCGCGACTCGGCTGCGAACCATGTAACGAAATCAAAACCGCCATGAGTCGTTTTAAAGACTACTTATATGATTTCTTTCTTTTCCCTTCCATTTGCAGATTTGCAAGCAACCACAGATATGTGAAAACGTGCGAAGCCACTTTACCGACCCAAACTCTTTGACATTCCCCTTTTGTTTTGATTGTCTTCTCAAGGTCCTGTACACACGTCTGCTTTTCCTGTTGTGGATAAACGTGCTTGCACCGTGCCTGACTGTTTTTGCTTGTGTCACGGTTGCGTATTGAAATTCTGTGAGTGCGCGCTGGCTGCGTGTGCTTCTCGCGTCGTGTGTCCGCTGTGATTGACTCCGTGCTGCTTCCTACCGCCGTTGATTCGTTCCGTGCCTGTTTTCTAGCTCCCGGTTTACTTCATGTATGAACGGTTATAATACATTGAGCACTGGAATATTTTGGATAATCCCGGGGCTGCTGACGTTAAGCTATGGGATTTCTTAATGTTCGTGTAGTTTCCGAGGCCATACTGTGTGCGCTAGATAGACTCTGGGTCTGCTCTACTTTGTGGCTTATGCCCATAAATCAGGCTAAGTATTCCGTTCTTCTTATAAGAGCAAATTTTTTGCCTTTCAGGTAAGTACTCGATGGTGTTGAACTCCTCCTTGTATCCAACCAGGTAGACGTAGGCGTCGTCCATTCCTCGTGTTTGCATGCTGGTGACAGCTGGAAGAGGGCTTCAAGTATCGCTTTCAGAATGTTGAAATTAAAACGACGTTCTTTCGGGGTCTTTACTGCCCACATATTGGTGAGGCTGTTCTCCGCTTTCGTCCGCACCTATCTGGAATGTTGCGTGCAGGCTTGCCCGCCCTGCTTTGTTCTGGACAAAACGAAGTTCCAGAGGGTTTTGAGAGTAGGTACGCAATTTTTCGAGGGGTTACAAGGGCATTCGTACCCCGAGCGTCTACTTAACTTGTGTATGTATTCAATGCACTGACGACGGGTTCGAGGAGACGTAATGGTTACTAGCCGCATTTTAACAGGTTAGGTTGCACCGTACCTGAGCTGGCTGTGTAACCCGGCTAGGTTGCCTAGTCTTCGTGGTCATACCATGATGGTAGACAAGCGGCGTTGTGACGGGAGCAGGGCGTAAACTCGGTTATCGCATAGAGGTATCGAGGGCTGGAACTGGCTTTCAGCAAGTGTCATCCGTGAACCTAC